GGCGCGTCCGCCTCGATGGCCCTCACGGCCTCGTCGACGGGGCGGCCGACCATGCTTCTCCCAGGCCTTCTCCGCGCCGTCTCCGTCGGGCGCGCCGTCCATGACGTTGACGAGGGCGCCCTGGGCCGCGACGGCGAGACCGACGACGACAAATGCACGCGAGAGCCACCGCATCGAGCACCGAGGGGCAGCCCGCAAGTTTGCGGCAAGTTTGCGGCAGCGTCGAGGCGTGCTCGGCGGCACTCTCGACTACCCGGGGCAGCATGACATTGCGCACCATTGCGGCGCACGCTCGCCGTCGCGCGCGCTGCAGTTGCCCTCGGCGTGGGCGCAGCACATGGCGACGAGTCGCGCTGCGACGGAGAGGGCTCCGACCTCACCTACGCGAGCTCGTGCGCGCTGCCCACGACCTGGATGAAGTGCGAGCTCGTCCGCATCGACATTTATAACCACGACGTGCGCAAATTCGTCTTTGCAACGCCCGACGGCGCGGACTTGAAGCTGCCGGTCTGCGGCTGCCTGCTGCTCCGGGCGCCGGGCTGCGAGCACGGCGGCGGCGACGCCGTGCGCCCGTACACCCCGATCTCCGAAGCCGCGGGCACCTTCACGCTGCTCGTGAAGTACTACGCGGAGCGCGCGACCGCGTCGCGATCATCGCCCTTCTGCATCCGTCTCGCTCGCGCAGGTGGGGCGTCAAGCCCGTGGGCGCCTTCGACAGCTACGCGTTCCGCCGCTCCTACCGTCCCGAGGGCGCCGCGTCGACGTTCGTCCACAATCGCGAGGTCGGCGACGCGGTCGAGTTCAAGCACGTCGCGGAGAACGTGAAGGTGCCCTATCCCTTCGACGCGACGCGCGTCAACATGATCGCCGTCGGCGCCGGCATCGCGCCGATGGTCCAGGCGCTCGACAGCATTTTACACACGCCCGGCGACACGCGTCGCGTCGTCCTGCTCTACGGGAACCGGAGCTGCGAGGACATTCTGCTCCGCGAGACGCTCGACGCCTGGGCCGTGACCCACGCGGACCGCCTCAAGGTCGTCTACGCCGTCGGCAGCCGCTGGGCGAACGTCGGCGTCCTGTGGCCGCGACGAGTTTCGAGAGATTTGGGGTGGGAAAACGATGAGAAATCGTCACCGTCATGCGTGGTAGGCAAACGTGCACGTGGGCATGAAGACGCGCGTGAAACGCGACGGCTTCTCGACGACGGCCGACGCGCTCGCGGCGCCGCCGGAGCCCGAGGGCTTCCGGGACCTGCCGACGTCGCCGAGCCAGGCGCGCGAGGTCGGCTGGGTCGGCCGCGCGTGCATCGAGAAGCACGCGTTCGCGCCGTCGCCGGACACGCTGACCTTCGTCTGCGGGCTGCCGTCGGTCTACGACTCGCTCTGCGGCCCGCGCGGCGACCCGGAGGTGGCCGGCGTCTTGCGGGACCTCGGCTACGCGGCCGCGGACGTCGTAAAGTTCTAGCCTAGACGACGCTGAGCTCGCGCGTGCGGACCGCGCCGAGGGGCGCGCCCGCGTCCGCGCCGCCCGGCAGCCGCCGCCGCGCGGCCGCGAGGTTCGCCGCGTGGTCCTCGCCGGCCGGGTCCGCGGCGGCCGCGCGCTCGAAGAAGGCGACGGCGCGCGCCGCGTCGCCCGCCGCGAGGGCCGCGACGCCCGCGTTCTGCGCGGCGAGCGCGTGGGCGCCGTCGCAGCCCAGGGCCGCCTCGTAGGCGCCGAGGTCGCCGCCGAGCGCGACGCCGAGGTTGTAGTACGCGTCCGCGGCGTGGTCCGCGGCGCACCCGGGGCCGGCGACGTGCGCGCGGAACGCGGCGGCGGCGTCGCGCGCGCGGCCCGCGGCGAAGAG